TTTAATTGCTGGCAGGGTGTGGTGGCTCACACATGTAATCCCAGCACTTTCGGAGGCTGAGGCGGTAGATACCCTGAGGTCCGGATAGTTTGAGACCAGCCTGGCCAACATGGTGAAACCCCGTCTTTAACAAAAAAGTACAAAAATTAGCCAGTCATGGTTACGCACACTGTAGTCCCAGCCACTCAGGAGGCTGAGGGAGAATTGCTTGAAACCGGAAGGCAGCAGTTGCAATGAGTCAAGACTGTGCCACTGCATCCACCCTGAGCAACAGAATGAGATCCTGTCTCAGGAAAAAAATTAAATAAAATAAATTGCTATGGATATTGTAATTGCTATGGATACTGCAAAGGGTGTTTATCATAACAGTTCATAACGTTCTATTTAAGAATGCATAGGAGAAATTTTCTCTGGACCCAGTTATGCTTTTCCTGAATTGCTGTTTGTTTTTACCTTAAGGACACTAAATATCCAACTTATTGTATTTTTCTGTTTGTACTGATACTAGACCATTTAGAGCCCAATTTGTGGCCTACCTTCAGCAAATGTTTATATATTTTGTATGCTGGTCATGTTCTTGGTTCTGTCTTTTCTACCTTTCTTTTCCTTATTCTCATTTTTCTAAGGTTTAATCCTTTTATATTACTATAATATCTGCATCTTTGTAAGCTTTTTTGTAATAAGGTTGGGATATAAATAAATATGACAATATCCTATTATCTCATTTGTTTCTCTTTAGACACTTACATTACTTTTTTAAAGTTGTAATGACCAGAACTGCACACTGGATAAAAACTCTGAACACTAAAAATAGGAATTAATGGTTTCTAAAATAGTAGTTAAGAGCATTCGATTGGAATTTAGGAGACCTGATGCCTGACTCCATTAATAACTATCTAATCGTCTTTAATAAGTTATTTTAACCTCTCTGGATCTTAGTTTCCTGGTGTGTAAAATGAAGGTAAAATAACCACTGGTTCTTTTTTTTTTTTTTTTTTTTTTTTTTTGAGACGGAGTTTCGCTCTTGTTACTCAGGCTGGAGTGCAATGGCGCAATCTCGGCTCACCGCAACCTCCGCCTCCTGGGTTCAGGCAATTCTCCTGCCTCAGCCTCCTGAGTAGCTGGGATTACAGGCACGTGCCACCATGCCCAGCTAATTTTTTGTAGTTTTAGTAGAGATGGGGTTTCACCATGTTGACCAGGATGGTCTCGATCTCTTGACCTCGTGATCCACCCGCCTCGGCCTCCCAAAGTGCTGGGATTACAGGCTTGAGCCACCGCGCCCGGCCAACCACTGGTTCTTAACTATAGGGGATGGGTTGGGATTTCTGTGATGCTGAAATTTATTTACATAAATAAATAAGACAATTTATTCATATAGTTTCTTTTCTTTCCCCTTCCCCTTCCCTGTTCCTTTTCTTTAACAGATGGAAATTCGCCACGTTGCCCAAGGTGGTCTTGAACTCCTGGGCTTCAGTGATCCGCCTGCCTTGGCCTCTCAAAGTGCTAGCATTATAGGTGTGAGCCACTGCGCCTGGGTTGTGATGCTTTTTCTTTTTGAGACTGAGTTTCGCCTTGTCACCCAGACTAGAGTGCAGTGGTGCGATCTCAGCTCACTGCAACCTCTGCATCCTGGGTTCAAGTGACTCTCCTGCCTCAGCCTCCCAAGTTGCTGGGATTACAGGTGCCTGCCACCACACCCGGCTAATTTTTGTATTTTTAGTAGAGATGGGGTGTCACCATGTTGACCAGGCTGGTCTCAAATCCTGACCTCAGGTGATCCACCTGCCTCGGCCTCCCAAAGTGGTGGTATTACAGGCATGAGCCAATGCTCCCAGCCCTGTGATGCTTTTTCAAAGGGCAGATGCAGAGGATTTTATAATACTGTGATAATTAATGTTAGGGTCACCCAACATTATATGGCTTTTGTGATCACAGCAGCACAATGGGTTAAGGTCCTTAAGAAATGGTTAAACATAATGTAACTAAAATCTCTTTCCTAGGTCATATTAGTTTAGAGACCATAATCATGTGAGTGTAGTTTGAATTATTTCTTACCAAATGAGAACATTTTCAACATACTCTTCAGTAGTCTACCACAGCAGTGATTCTCAGGGTGCAGTGGAGTGGGTGACAGAAAATCAAAATTTTGGCTGAGGATGGTGCTTCACACCTGTAATCCCAGCACTTTGGGAGGCTGAGGTGGGAGGATCACTTCAGTCCAGGACTTCCAGGCCAGTCTAGGCAACACAGTGAGACCTCATCTGTATAAAAATATTTAAAAAATTAGCCAGGTGTGGTGGTCCTGTACCACCCAGCTAGTCAGGAGGCTCAGGTGGGAGGATTGCTTGAGCCCAGAAGCTTCAGGTTATGATGATAACATGAAGCTAGGATTTGGCCGCTGCACTACAGTCTGGGTGACAGACAATTCTGATGTGATTATCTCTGGAAGGCATTCTCTCCTCCTAGTCCCTCCACCTCCATTCAGAATCACTGACTTATACCTTTTACTTAGTCACATGAAATTCACTTAATTTGAATATATATATCTACTATATACTCACACACAAAAAAATTCCAGCTGGGCACAGTAGCTCATGCCTATAATCCCAGCACTTTGGGAGGCCAAGGTGGGCAGATCACTAGGTAAGGAGTTCAAGACCAGCCTGGCCAACACAGTGAAACTCTGTCTCTACTAAAAATACAAAAATTAGCTGGGTGTGGTGGCATGCACCTGTAGTCCCAGCTACTTGGGAGGCTGAGGTGGGAGAATTGCTTGAACCCGGGAGGCAGAGTTGCAGTTAGCTGAGACCATGCCATTGCACTCCAGCCTGGGTGATAGTGAGACTCCATCTCAAAAAAAAAAATTTCCTTAGGCAGGGTGTAGTGGTTCATGCTTGTAATCTCAGCATTTTGGGAGGCCAAGGCACGAGGATCACTTGAGACCAAAGTTGGAGACCAAAGTTAGCCAGCCTGGCTAACATGGTGAAGCAAAATCCTGTTTCTACTAACCGTACAAAAATTAGGCGGGCATGGTGGTGTGGGCCTGTAATCCCAGCTACTCAGGAGGCTGAGGCACAAGAATCACTTGGGCCTGGGAGGCAGAGGTTGCAGTGAGCTGAGATCATGCCAATGTACTCCAGTCTGGGCAAACAGAGCCAGACCCTATTTAAAAATCTATTGGCCGGGCGCAGTGGCTCATGCCTGTAATCCCAGCACTTTGGGAGGCCGAGGTGGGTGGATCACGAGGTCAAGAGATCAAGAGATCGAGACCATCCTGGTCAACATGGTGAAACCCCGTCTCTACAT